TACCAGACAACAACAACAACAAAACAAATTTGTGTGTGCTAGGTTACATAGGCTCTAAAGTCTCCCTCTCTCTTTACGACTGTCTCCTAACAATACTCCTATTTGTAAAAAGGAATGTGTGGAGGATATTTGATTTCAGAAAAAAACCCCCTCTCAGGTAGAAAGATTTGGGGGGCGGGGAGAGAGTGAAGCACATGTGTACAAAAAGCCAATTAATCCAGGAGGATGAGATGCGACAGGGATTCTCAGGGCCCCTGTGTTCTCCCCAAAGCAGGACGGGGGATATCCGCATAGATTAGATGAGGCTGGGGACTTAGGGGCACTGATTAGAGTCACCCCCCTTGAAATCGAGGGGCTCCTCAGGGCATTGGACATTACAAAAGCGCCAGGCCCTGACAGGTTACACCTGAGAGTACTTAGAAAGTTGGCAGGAGTTCTCTCATGCCCGCTGGCCTCCATTTTTGAGACCTTGTGGAGAACAGGTGAAGTTCCAGAGGACAGGAGGGTGGCATCAGTGGTCCCAATTTTCAAAAAGGGTAGTAGAAAGGACATGGGGAATTATAGACTGGTTAGCCTTACGTCCATTGCAGGAAAAACAATGGAACGGCTCATAATAGAGATCTAGTGATGCTAGATAGGGAAGGGAGGCTGACAGCCACACAACACGACTTCTGCAAAAACAGGTCCTGCCAGACAAACCTTATGGAATTCTATGACAAGGTTTTGTGATGGTTAGATGGAGGAGATGCAGTGGATGTGGTATACCTGGATTTCAGCAAGGCCTTTGACAAAGTGCCCCATGATATCCTGGTGGAGAAACTGAGGAGTTTTGGGATAAACCAAAGCACTGACCAGTGGATTAGGGCATGGTTGGCTGACCAAAAGCAGAAAGGATATAGTCAGGTTAGAGTCAGTGCAGCGTAGGCCACAAGGTTGGTGGCCGGTTTGCAGGGGATGCCGTATGAGGCGAGACTGAGGGAACTGGGTCTTTTCAGCCTGGAGGAGACTCAGAGGGAATATGTTGGTGACATACAGGTATGTGAGGGGATGTCACATGGAGATGGGTAGAGACCCGTTCTCCCCTGCAGAGGAAGGCAGAGCGCGCTCCAACGGAGCAAAACTCAGGGAGCCAAGGTTCCATTTGGATGCCAGGAAGCACTTCCTGACAGTTAGGACCCCGAGGGTGTGGAACGGGCTTCCCCGGGAGGTGGTTGAGGCCCCATTGGTGCAGGTGTTCAAGGATAGGCTGGACGTCCACATGGTGGGCATGTCGTGAGCGGAGCCGGCTGGTGCCGGAGGTCAGACTAGATGGCCCGGGAGGCCCCTTCTGACTCGCTCTGTTTTCTATGTTTCTATTTCAGCAAGTGCCAGTGGACAGCAGGGGATGCGGAAAGGGGCCTCCTTGAGATTTGGGGCACCAAATGAAAAGTGCAGGACTTCACTTCAAGTGGGCCACCACCTCTGTGAAATACAATCCAGATATTTAAAGAATACAGTACAGTATGAAAGAAACTGCACAGGAATAGACAGATCAATCATAAATATCTCAAACTAAAAATAGCAGTAATAGGAGGTCTGAGAGAAAAGAAAGTTCTTAATGCTGAAAAAATAACTAGCCGAACCTTGTTGGGGAGCGTATTGTCTAAGTTCACTGCCACAATTGGGAAGGCCCCTCACTTGCAGCCACCCACCTAGCTTCCTTGAGCGTACCTGGAGGGAGGCCTCCTGAGATAATCTAAACATCTGTGCAGTACATTTGGGAGGAGATGTTTCTTCAGATTTTGAATTGGTTTTGGTCAACAGGGTTGCAAAACAATTGCTATTGATATTATTCATTGTATTATCAATTATATTCTATTAAGTATTAATATTATGTATTGCATTATGTATTATATTAATGTTTGTTTGATTTTGTATCACCTAGAGTTGAATACTGTATTGCTTATTTGTACTGCTTTAATGTATTACTGTATTTCTATGGAATATGTACTTTTTTCTATTGTAAGCTGCCCAGGGATCCCTGTGGGCTATGGGGCAGCATACAAATGAAATGAAATGAAATGAAATGAAATGAATGTGTGTATACTCCTCTACAGAGACTTACTGGCTGGGTTCACATGAACAACAAGAACAATCAGCAGTTGGTTGTCTGGGCTTATGAACCCAATGTGGGCTACTCATTGTGGCGGGTTTTCTCAAGAAACACATGATGACCATCCATGGGCAGTGTTAGGATTACCTTTTACCATGGTGGGATGTCATGTCATCTAACATGCAAGAGGAAGTTAAATCAAGGACTCTGACAACCTTCAACAATTTTTTTAGGAGGGGAAGGGGAATGTATGTCAGAAGTACGTCCAAGCAAAAATCCATTCACCCCACCATCCTTTCCATTTTTAGTGGATATAGATTTTTGATTGCCAAGTGTCAAACTGTTCCCTTTAAAAGGAGAGGCAGTTTAACACTTTTCCTAGTCCCTGGAGAGTGGAAAAAGTGGCTTTCCCATGGGCATGAACTGTGTGGGGGAAAGAGGACACATTGAGAAACTTGTCAGGAAGGTGGACTTTTGCCCATTCGTGAGAGCAATTAAAACAAAAACAAAAACTGGGCAGTCCTAAGGGAGTTCCTCTAAGACTTTGCTGCAGGATTTTGAAAGGACAGCTCGTGGCTATCCAAGTATAGATAAGGGAAGCCAGCTTTTTGATATTGCCACTCACCATGAATGTAAAGGGACAAAGCAGCTACAGAGATCCAAAAACAGTTTGATACTGCAGCAGGGAATAAGAGGTAACTAGTTGCGCCACTGGTGTCTCTTGGGCAACTGCCCAGAGGAAGGATTTAAATACCCATAATAAGATCTGGGTCATAGGTACTTCGCAGAAAAACTAAGCTGCCATGGCAAATCACCACACTAAGTTTGTGATTTCACCCATTTATATGGCCAGAAGTCAGAAAACATGTCAACATAGTATGCAGACTTGTATTTCCTAAAGTAAAATGATCAAACCTTCGTTCCTGATGAGAGAACTGGGCATGTTCAGCCTTGAGAAGAATTGGGGGGGGGGGCATGATATACCTCTATAAGTACCTCAAAGGCTTTCACAAAGAAGGACAAGATCTCTTCTTGCTGATACCAGAGTGTAGGACATGGAATAATCAAGTCGTGACAACCTAGGTTCAGGCTAGATATCAGGGAAAGGTTCTTCACTGTCAGAGTCATACGACAGTGGAAGCAGCTGCCTAGAGAGAAAGTGGGCTCTCCCACACTAGAAACATTCAAAAAGAAGTTGGACAGTCGTATGAGTGGGATGGTATAAACTGATGTTCTGCAACAGCAGAGGGTTGGACCTAATGGCCACCTTGGTATCTTCCAACTCTATTATTCTGGGCATTCTCTATGAAAGTACCCTCAAGCAGTACCAAGGGAAGTTTATGAAATTAATCTCTTTTCTGTCTATTGCATAAAAATTGCTGCTCAGAAGAGATGCAACTCACAATAAACTTCTAATGTGTTTCTATGATATTCTTTGGTATTGCCAAAGTTCCTGCCAACAAGAAATACAGCAACTGGAAAAAGACTTTTAAAGCTCAGTTTTAACAATAGCTCCACCTTTATTAGTCTCTTTGATTATGATCTTAGAATATGAAGATAATTGAGTACTGTAGAATTATCTCTACTCAAATTAGATCCAGGATAAACAGCAGCTTCATCCAATTCATCACAGACCTGATATGATCCTTTGCTTAAAAATCTGTATGATCAGGTCTGGAGGACCTGTGTATTTAGGTATCAGACCTCTGAAATAATTCTGGAAGTTGTCTAGAAAAACAAAAAAATCTAACCACATTTGTAGCGCATCATAGCGCTGTAAACTCTATCTGATAAACTAACTACCAGTGCTTCCTAATTATCCCCCCTCAAGATGATTTCTTCTAATGAGCTCTTTTGTCCTTTGTTGTATAAAGTAATCTGGTTTAAAAAGTACAAAGTATGAACTTAGTCTCAATCTATGAGCAATAACTGACTCCTAATATATGTTGCCAAAAACAAGCAATTTTTTAAAAAGAAAAGGTGACCCTTTAGTTCCTTTATTAACCATGGCTATCATTTGTTGCCATTGTAACCGTCTTGGTCTCACAGGGATATTTTGTGTTAATTCTTAGGTTCATTCAGAATTTTTTTTTTAAATCTTTCCAGTGCAGAGAGTTTAAATATCATCTCTTTACCATCAGGGACTTTTTACATTTTGCTTATTTTAGTGTCCAATCATTCTCAAAATTACATAAGCTTAAAAATATTTCTTGACTTTTTCCACTGGTAAAGATTTGCTTCATAAGTTCTTATACAATTTTTAACTGGATTATATTGTGGTGGGTCCAGAACACATACATGTGCATATATATATACACACACAAACCAAGGTAAACTTCTCCCCAGCAATGTTCAAGGTCACTTGCAGGAGGTGCTGAAGTTTCTCCCTAGCAACCCCAACCAAGACTGCCATTTCCCAGCTAATATTGGCATTGGAGAAAAATAGTTTTATCAGGATCTTTGTAGGATATAAAGTAAAAGGCTCTAATCCCACACCACTACTGATCCTCAGCAAGGATTTTACCACACTGCTTTCGGCAGCAGGGGAACAATTATTTTTAATGGGAATGCTGGGAGTGGAAGCACAGTGCAATCCTATCCATCTTTACCTGGAGATAAGTGCTAACTGAGTACAGCAGTTAATATGCATGATATTACAGCTTTAATTATACACTCTTATTTGAGAGGAAGCACAAATGAACTCCATGGGGCTTATGTCTGAATAGGCATGCAAAGGATTCCACTGTTAGTCTTTTACAGATATAATGCAAATATGTTACTAAATTAAACACTAAAGTATAAGTCTAATCATAAAAAGCAAACCTGAAGTCAGAATACAATGTAGCACCATGTGAAATGCAGAGAGTCAAACATAGCCAGTCCGTGGGTGAAAAATAAAGGTCTCTTCTTTGTGGTAGATATTTTTAACATTTATTAAAAAAGCAAAATGTATGTTCATTTCAAATGAAACGGTTAAAAATGTTAAAGCATACAAACACAAACTGTGTACTAGCAGCATCCAATTGTTAGACTTTTCTAAAACTCTGCAGTGCTGTTTTGGCAAGCTAACATTGTAGCCTGCAACTCACTATCCTCACCATAGTGCAGATAAAACAAAAACTTTATAAAATTAACAGGTTAAATAAGCTTAAATAAAGGTGTTAAATACAAGTCACTTGCTCAAAGCTTCTGTACAAAGATAAACAAATCTGGCATTATACAAATGATAGGCTGGCTCTCACCACATATGATTTCAGTAGTTAGGAACTTTAACCATCTTAGCTGAACATGAACTATACAAAAGTCACTGACAGTGAGTGAACTGATCAGGTGAGCCATGTACAAGGCATGTGTATCATTAGAAAAATCAGAACACTGTTTAAATTCAGGCACCATTTTTCCTGCAAATAAATAATCCCTAGTATATCTGCATCCAAACTAGCGTTAAACTCATCAGTGCTAAATATTTAAAACACAGTTTGTGACTATTTCATTCTACTTCAATTCTTATTGCTATGACAATGTGACTGTGGAAATATCTACTATACATACAAAAAATAGAGCACCTTTGACCATGAAAGTATATGTCTATTTTTTTATCTTACAATACTGAAACCCAAGCTACCATAAATTGCTTTAGCATCTTGAATGGAAAATCTGAAGAACAGAAGATAAACCCCAACTTATTCTTGTCCAGGTAAGCCCAAGCCAGAAGTATATTTTAAAATGTCTAAAATGACACCAGGAATTGTACATTCATTTCCACAAAAACAAATATCTGCCATTAAGTCTTGGTTGCCTTCAAATGAACATTAAGGTAATTTCTAATAGTTCATTACCTTGTTCAAATGAACAGGGCTTGGCATAGATTATAACAGAAAATGTAAAATGGATTGTGAACACACTGAAATTATATTAGGTTAACGCAAGGTAATTGGTCTTATCTGGCTTGAATAGTGCTTTTTCTGAACTCATGTTAGGATTTCTTATCTATTGTATTGAAAAACCATTCTGTAAATTTCCTTAGTTGAGCAGCAGCTGTTTGTGATTCTTCCTGAAGTCTCATGTTATCTTGTCTCAAATGTTGGACTTCAGCTTGGAGAACAGCTTTGTCTTGTTTTTCCTAGATCAGAGGAAAAGGAGTTGAATGACACTTAGAGCCATTATTTTTGTTGCTCATTTTTCTGAGTGACTTAGCTGGCTTCTGTTTACTTTAATCTACTATTCACAATGCAGCACTAGAACTCTGTGCTGAATCTTCAGAATTGCTTGGTCTGCTGTTTTAAAAGAAAATAGCCTTGCAGGTTAAACAAGATAAATGAGTTTGTACTACCAAGTTTCTGTTACAGAGCTGTTCATCTATACTACACTTCAGCACACTTCATTACAGTAAACAAGGTAACTTCACAGAAAGATATATAGACTATTTTTAGATCTAGACATCAGATTAGAGGAGAAAAACCATCTATGACTTGCAAACAAAATAAAAGGCAACAAGATGACCAGCTGCATGGTTTCTACCTGGTAGTTATTAAATTCTGTAACAGAAAAGTAACAGTTAACAGCTACTGCAGGGAAAAAGACTGCATGTTGAACATGTGAGGTGGGAACAGTTTCCAAGAACTGTGCCAATACACCAGGATTTATTTCATCCAAAAGCAGCACAGAGCAGCAGGTAGGGTTTCAAGCCCATATGGTCTCAGAAGAGAAAATATATATGCTGTCATGTGGGTGAATGAATAGCAGGAAGAGCATGTGAGCTGTAATATGTGCAAACCAACTTTTCCACAGCTTTATTTGGACTAGAAATCCCACTATACAAAAGCAAGCAGAATTAAGTTACAAATGCTAAATGAATACAAATAATTACACTAAAATGGGAATTCGGTGATTGTGTATAGTGTTTTGTTAATGTCCTGACATGCAGAATGCTCAGTTCTATGACTACACCATCTGATTCATCAACCTGTTTCCAGACAGTGGGATTGAGTACTGAGGAGATTAAATTTGACTTTTATTAAGTTTAACAGGAAATTAATAGGAATTTCCACTGTATACCCAGAGACAAGCATACTTCTCACAAGTTCTTGAGGGATCAAGCTAGATCAAACCAATCCATTTAAACTTTTATAGGTAACTGGATTACATTCAGGTTTGAATAGAAAAAGTATGTGTACATGCACATGCATTTTTTTAAGGAAAGGAATCCAGACAGGATGCTAATCCCTCATGCAGCTTACTTTTCATTTCAGGGGAGGGCCTTTGAGAAGTGGCGTGTGCTTTTTCTTCCTTTTAATTAGAATCCCACTCTTTCCTACCTACAAGATTGGGTGAGCCTTGGATTTAATAAAGCAAGTCTACTCTCATCACATGTAGTCAGACTTAAAATATATGCTGCTAAATTTGAGGGGAAAGATTTCTAGGTGGCAAAATGAATTTTTATAAGAAAACTTTTGCACTGAAGCAGAGGGTATGTAATTCTTCCATGCAGTCATTTACAAAAAATATTTGTTCACAAATCTTACATGAGCCCATCCCCACAAAGTCAGAAAATATATGAACTGCAGAATTTGACTGTAACCTTATAACTAGTTTCTATGTATAAGCACATCAGTACTTTCTGACCCTACTCATGCTGAAACTCTTTTCGTAATTTTGTAACCATAATACAAGTATTCATGAATTACTCAAGACAAACAGATATGAAGTCAAAGGCCATTTCTATTTATAAAATACTTGAATTTAATATTTATTTTGGGGTATACTGTTAGAGTAAATAGCTTTTAAAAACTGTCTGTTTTCGAGTGTAAAGTAATAAGCTCAGCAAACATTTTCTTTTCAGATACGGCTGTAAACACAAGAATTATTAGCTTGCACACTTGTAAAGCTGGAAGATACTCAGATAGCTTCTATCACAATTGCAAGATAGAATGTTCCATATTCAAACGGAGCACTCTGCATTTCTAATAATGCAAGCCATGAGGAGGCAGAATGAGAAAGTGGGCAGTACCAAGTTTATATGTCAGAAATACCTAGATAAAAGATAAGTAATTCTGAAAATGTAAATATAAATAGATGGTTGATGAATAACTGTTACAAAGAAAGACAACTACAATTCCGTATCAAGTTAGTTTGATCTAACGGGGGGAAAACCCTTCCACCTTCACATCAGATAATAAAAACTGCACAAGATCTCTGAATGCATTCTCCTACAGTGAAGACCAAATTACTTAGCAATAAACTTGTGATGACTGAAATTCATGAATGTACACCGAAATAAAATCAGTCATTTTCATTTGTATTGCTATTGTTTTGCTCTGTTTTTCTTGGACATTACCCCTTCAGTGACTCTTTCATTAATTCATTTTTTGACTAGAAGCAGGTGAAGTCTCAAATTGTTTTATACCTATATTACTTACTGATGCATAAATTGCTATCAGAACATATGAAGTTGACAGACCACTGGTCTGTCTAGGCCAGTGATGGCGAACCTTTCAAAGACCGAGTGCCCAAACTGCAACCCAAAACCCATTTATTTATTGCAAAGTGCCAACACTGCTATAAAACCTGAATATCAAGGTTTAAGTTTAGAAAAAACAACTCATACATTAACATATTTTGTCTTAAAAGAAAAACATGATAACAGAGCCTTCAATGATACAAACAGCTTTTTATTGAAAGGTAAAAGTTTGCTTTTGGCCTGCTCTGAAAAAGGCATCTGAGTGCATTTCCTACTTTGTGGGGGCTTCTGCTAAAATCACAGCCAGTCCAAGCAAATCCCTGCCAGAGCACTGACCGGCCATGTGAAAGCTTGGACGAATCGTGGCTAATAAGTCGCAGCTCATGACATCATTACCTGGTGCTGCTACTCCTTTCTGAGCATGCGCATGGCCCCTTTGTGTGCTGTTACCCTATGCGTGGCTGCTGGGGCAAAGCTGGGGCGACTTGGCTCTTATGCCAACAGAGAGGGCTCTGTATGGTTCACCATCACTGGTCCAGGCCAATAAAACCACTCTAAACTACAGTGGATTTTGATGGCCTTTCCTGACACTGCTACCTGAGAGCATTATAGTCGGAAATGCTGGTGAGGCAGCTAGATTAGGTAGCAGGAAATTTGCTAGGAGGATCTGAGCTTCCACATTTTTAAGGCTGAAATGCACCTGCTTAGGTTCCTGATCTTGTTTCCAACCCCAGTACTGGTAGAGGCATTGTCTTTGTATATATCAAGCCTTTCTCCCTCTGTGGTTATCCTCTTCAAACCATGCTGCCTCTCCCTTCAACCTCCTACTTGCTCCATTTTCGAACTGATATACTGGTCTTGAACAGGACTCACACATGCACAGGTATTATAAAAGCTGTGTAAATACAGAAATATTTCATTCTACACAATGCTTTTACCTTCCGAAGATCAGTTTGCAATTGTCGGAGGATCACTTCCAGCTGGTTTACTTTTCCAGTCAAGGTAGTAGGGCTATCCTCCCTACAAAATTAAATTGCACTTTGGAGTTATTTCAAGATGTCATACCCACTCCCAAGCAAAATAGTTCCATATACAATGCAGAAGACAATGGAGCAATAGCTGTAATGGCTGCAAAAAGCACATACAAGCAGTTATTCAGATAAAAGTCCACTCAAGTGATGACTGAAACATGACACAATCTTACAAGATCAAATGCCAATCAATATAAATGAGGTCTGTTGCAAGCCGTCCTGGAACGTCTGAGAAGGGCGGCATAGAAATATTGTAAATAACTATTGTAAATAAATGGTGCAAAGGAGTCTTTCTGTTAACTACAGTGAAAGTACAAGGTGCTTGTTATAACAGCAATTCAAAGCAAGCTGAATAACATGAAGGCTGCATTAGCTTTTGTTTGGTGTTTAATTTTAACCTTTAGTCTTTATAATTAAATCTTTATAAATCCACTTTTTTAAGTACAAACATTCAAACTATAGCCAAAGGTCAGTCATCTATAGAAAGTGGATTATCAGAATGAATACAAAGAAGAGTGCGTCTATTCGCAAATAAAGTAAGACATAACATAAACAATTTATTGTGAATGAAAAAACTTGACGAAGCAGGTAAAGCTATCAGTTTTATAGCTTGGAGAAACTCATTTAAACAGAAAATAATACAATTCTTTGTGCTCCAAGCACATTTGATTTAGGGAAAATATCAAGCAAGTTTCTTCTCATTGAATTAAGACATCCAAAACCCAGAAAGTTTCAAATCTTTCAAATGTGTAGTTACAGAAAGTAGGTGCTATGAAACAAAATTCATCATTTATGCCTTTATGATCACAGATTATCATAAAGCATTCTGGGCCAACATGAACCAGACCTCCGAAATTTTGTGCACAAGCAAGATGACATCTCCTGAGAAGCACACCAACTAACAGGCAGTTAGGGAATAGGCCAGTCTTTTAAGTAACCTGCTCCTGAGTTGTTCAGGGTTTTGTAAAGTGCAAAAAACTTAAATCATCCCCTTTTCTCTATTTTTCACAAAGCATTGAAGCCAGCTAGGCTTAAGCTTTTCTTCTGTAGCAGCCATTCGATTACTTCTCAGGCAAGACCTGAATCTTAAAGAGGTTGTGAGGTTTTTGATGGATCCTTTGAGTCAGAATCACAATCCCATTCCTGCTCATTTCACCAGGATGCAAGAATATTTTCATTTGGGACCCAAGCCAGAGGTCTTTGTATGCTGTAAGGGAGACAGGTTTGTTCCAAAGCTAATGGGACAGTTCCATTTTGGCTGGGAAGTCTTCTCAGTCAGCGTAGGTAGAATCTAGGGCAGTTAAAACCCATAGTGATGTTGCAGAAGTAAATGTTGCATTTATCAAATCAGGTGAAACTCCCATTGACTCTAATGATTGGCTGTACCAACTGGAACAGACAAGAAATAAGCTCCAAAATATTTGGATGCCCACAGTCTCTCCACCCCTGCTGTGAAAGAAGATGCAATATTACAACAGTTTTGTGAGAAAAATGTTATCTGATTTCCATACCCAGTAGCGTCGATGAAATCTTTTCCATTGGTTGGACTTGCACCCAAGGCCTGATTTTCCTCTAAACCTTGTACATGCTGCATGTCATTCAGGGTGCAAAATGATGCCACCCTTTGATCTAAAAAGCAAATACATGAAGAAACAACTTAAGTAAGTTGACTATGACAATACTTGTAGTATATAAATCTGACAAAGAACTAAGATATCCTCTTTTATCTGGATCCAGCAATAGTCAAAGACTACATGGCTGCATCACAATTTTTCAAAATCCCTCAAGCCATCTGGATTTTCAACATAAAATATGTAAATAAAATCCCACTGCAGCCTCTGCTTTGCATGTAATGAGCAAAGTATCTGTTTTAATATTTTACTGCTAATTTAGTTTTGCAGAAATTTACAGAAAATCTGAGACCCATTTCAAGCAAAGTGACAGTAAATGCAGGCATAGAGAAACAAAAATACATAATTCCATAAAATGCTATGGAATCTATAGCAGAGCATATTTATTGTATTATTATGCTTGAACAAGTAATTGATTACCCAAAGGCTTGACTTTTAATCTCTTAGTTCTACCATTATGACCTCTATCATACATTTATTGATTTCAGCTATAGAAAGTAAGCCATTTCCTCTTGGGTTTTAAAAGTAAATTCTTTTCTCTAGGACTCATAGTACATGCTTGACTTCTTTGGAAGCAGAATTTCCTCACTGAAGGACATGCAGTGTGGCAGAAATAAATACACTGTGAGCTAAACGAACTGAGTATTCCACACAAAAAATCGGTATCGAACATGAGTAAACCAGGCTTTGAGCTATTTTCATGCACAAGATTTATTCTGTAAGAAGGGGATAATATACAGAGATTGTACTTGGATTTCTCTAGAGTTCACAGACATTTACTTGTCTCGGCCGTAACATGCCTTCCCCTCTCATCTTGCAAAGATCCAAAGCTTGCATATAATCATGCAAACGTGCAAAAATATAAAAGCATAAAGGTAGGCTTTTTAATAATTAAGATCCAACAGTCAACCCCAGATCATCACCTAGAAACGAGGTGTGATGACAGACTGGCCCGAGTTCTTCGTCAGAGTCAAAATCTGAAATAAGATTTAGAATGTTCCTATGAACAACACAGTTCACTGAACTAACTGTGGAATAACGTAGTTGCTATCAGTATGGAAGAAAAGAGTTGTGGAATATTACTTATATCAAGTCATGTTAACTCATACTGTGGGGCCCTTCTTAATCTCAGAACAGTTTTTTTTCCCACCATCAGGACATCATACTCACTTTATAATCTATGTATTTGGTTAATTAAATCGGTAACAAAAAGGTGTTACCATCTGTTTAAACAGTAGTAACATGAATAACAATGCATAACAGCCAAAGATGGATACATCACTTTGGGATACAACAACTATTTAGTCAATGGACAGCACTGTGTCCTGCAGATTCAGTTTCACATATGGCTCCTCCCACTGATTCACCTTTGCAAGCAGGACCCACTGTTTGTGCAACACAGATTTCATCTATCCTAAAGGAAGCCCAAAACAAGTGGAAATGCTCATTCTTCAACTGGAACATGTTGACAGAGCTTCCTTACGTGAGCTTCACTGACCTGCTGTTCCAGAAAAAAGTATTTCTGCTCATTTCTGGATGTTCCCACAAGTATTAAATCTCTATTGTACAAATGCGTCTGCAGAACAGAATCAACAGGAGGCAGTAGCCTGTTCAATACTGTCTATAGCAAACATATTTTCTGCTGAATGTTCAAACTGCTATAGACAGAACAGCAAGCATCTGCTAAATATATCCCTATTTGCAGTTTGTAATCTGTCTGCTTCTGAATGGCAAGTTCATATGTGCTGTTAAGACAAGAAAATGATTTCACACTTCAATGGCAGCGCACATCCAGAGATCATAACAGCCCTGCGAAAGCACCAGGAAATTAAAAAGTGAGTTCACTCACTTAAAAACACAAAATATCTATACTACTATGTTCTGCAAATGTATCTATGAAAAACAATGGAAGAGAAATAACACTTCAGATTGATACTTAGTTATCCCTTTTACTTTGTATGTGAATTAAAAAAGAACTGTTTTAACATTTGCCTACAATTTTTCACTACCACATAATCAGAGATGACAGAGACAAACTTGCTCTGAAATTCCTGTTATTTTGAATGTTAATATTTTACTTGTACTTCATTATTTACTATCAGTAAGTGAAGGGGTTTTATGCTCTAAAATAATACAATTGCTATTTTTAAAATATTGTAGTTTTATATCAAATAGTGTAAGGCAAGCCAATCTAAGATAAGCTCCACTACAATGCAATATGATTTGCAAGGACCCATTTTCATGATAACATGCATGATATGATGTACTGGCTGTTCATTCACTAACACATTTTAATTTCAACAAATGACTGACAGTCTGTGGCTTGATTCCCCTTGGTCTTCATACCCATTTCCAGCACATATTTCATGGGTCATTTTACCATAGCATTTCTTGCAGCCTCATCCCTATGGAGGGAAATGTTCTGGCTTCCCTTCCTGCTTCACTTCAGTTGCTATCCCTTTTCAATGCATTTTTTGTCATTTGCAACTCTTAATTTTTTCCCCTGCTTTGGAAGTATGCAAATACTTTCCCTTTGTCATTTGCAAATTTGCAGTTGTGCAAATTAACTTGTTTGCTACTTGTCTTTAGCAGTACGGATTAGTATATCTTCTGTACATACTGATATTCTATTAATCAATTTCATTACTTCTTGAACTAACAGTTTTCCTTGTCAGTTTCCTGTCTTACTTCAACACTTCCCATGAACTCTAAAACCAGCAGCTGAATGGGGCAAGCAATTAGAGCAGCAGGTATACTTACTGTAAACATTTCCTGAAAGTGGAATAGGTAGTTTACAGAGAAACTGATAAAACCACTCTACTATCACATATTATACACAGGGACAAATACGCACAGAACTGGGGGAAATAATAAGCACAACAGTAAATCATAACCATTTGTTTGAATACTTCTGAAGCATTGTTTTGTTTAAAAGTTTGCAAACATGATACGATCTTTCCAAACAGCCATGCTGGTATTTCTGAAGATGTAGACATTAAAAAGAGGAGTGTGTCTAGATTGCAAGGAATAACGCAGGCTTTTTGCTACTTTTGCTATGCAGTTTTTTAGTCTGTTCCAATGAGCTTCAGACAAACCGGAGTGTCAGTTCATATATCATGACCAGACACCGTGAAAACAAGCCACCCTCAACAACTGACCAGAGAATGATGGGAGTTGTACAACTAAGGAAACATTTCCTCAAACTTCTAAACTAGGTATTCAGTGTAAAGGGTCCTATTCCAAAAGAACTTGTGATTTAGAACAAACTCAAACAAGAATTAAATTTATAGCATATCAGTGGTGTCACCCAAGGTAGCAAACGTAAGTGTTAGGGAAAATGTGAGCAAAGCAAAGATAAAGAAATGACAATATATAAAGTATAGGTAGGTAGATGAAAAATATCAGGAGGGTCATGCTTTGAAACTTTTTTGGAAGCAAGTTATATAAATGTGATTAAACATTAAAAAGATGTGCTTTGTATTACTTTTGAAGCCAATCTGAGCAACTGATTATCACTTCCCAGTAAGATCTTTAATTAGATTGCTGTAACATAAAAAGAGAAAAATGGTACTCATATCCCATACATCTGTCAAATCCCTGGTAATTATGACTTACTTTAACCAAGTCTAAAAGACTCGGACTGACAAGAGTTAAAAGTCCTGAACATACTGCCTTCATGTCCTGTTTTGGAGCTTTCTACAGGCATCTCATTGGCCACTGTGGGAAACCGAAAGCTACATTAAAGGTGGATTTGGTCTGACCCACCAAGACTCTTACGTTCCTAAAGTGGCCAGAATGACTTGCTCAGTGTGTCTCAAGGCCTAAAAAAGTCAAACATTCAAAATAGCAAGAAACAGAATACTACTTTCCTTGTAAACTTGCCTATTTCCTCTGAAGAGGTATACACTGGCTGCTGTGGAAGAGAATACTATGCCTAATGGTGTGTGATAAAGACTGTTCTAATGCTAAGGCTTATCCAAGAAGAAATAATAGTTGTAGAGGTTCAATTTCTGACAAAGACAAACAAGATCCAGGACTCTTTATATTACATTTAAAAATATAATGAAAGTATGGGAATGCATAAACTCAGAACTTAGCTGCATGACTGAGCTGACGTAATCCATGCTAACCAAAGATATATACAACCGCCTCTATATCTTGTTTGTGTGATCAAAGACCTCTGCACCTTGCACACCAACAGGAAAATGTGAGCCTGCACTATACCTGGCAATTTATTTTCTAAGCATAACACTGTAGGAATCTTAACAGTACCTGAGAAAGGTCTACTGAATCTGGCAAGAAATATCACTGCAAAGTAGGGATGTTACAGGAATCTGCAGTGGATTGAAAGGAATTTGGATTTCTGTGAATGTGACCTGCAGATTCATGTAGACACCATTGACTTGCACACTGTTTTGCTTTTTTACATTGACGGAATTTGCACAAATGCACGTTTGCAAATGAGCAAAATTCTTATTAATAATTTCTTATTCCATCAGTGAGTAGACAACAGAATGCAAGGCCTGTCAATCCATGAAACAGAGATGGAAACAGTTTAATTCAATTCATAGCGCCTACTGTAAAGGTGAGTTAAGGAGATAAAAATACACAAACTGGACCTGCTTTTTTGGTCAGTTACAAATTGTAAGAAGTAAAGAATGACAGCACATTCATTTTGGAATATATTTGATGAATTTAAAGGTTTGGAGGCCAGCCATTAGATCACACTGCCAGAGAGTTCCTTTGCTGAGTAGTCCTATCGTTTTTATTTTATTTTATTTTATTTATTTATTTATTTAGAATATTTATATGCCATCCAGTCATGAAGGCCTCAGGATGGCTTACATAAAAATAATATAAAACATAACACAGATAAATTACAGATCCACACTGGCTGCAGTTAAAAACATATATAAACCAATATTAAAAGTTATTAAAATATTGTTGGAATAAAAAGGTCTTAACCTGGCGCCGAAAAACAAATGACGGCAGTGCCAGGCAGACCTCTCTGGGGAGCGCATTCCATAGGCGGGGCACCACCGCAGAGAAAGCCCTCGTCTGGGTACTTTGCCTCCTAATATTTTTCACAGAGAGTTCCTGGAGGAGGGCCTCTGCTGCCGATCTCAGGGGGCAGGAGGGCAAATATGGAAGAAGGCGTTCCTTTAGGTATCCAGGTCCCAAGCCTGGATATTGTTTTCATTTTCAGTAAACCAAACACAATTCAACTGACAGCCAAACCTATAGGCCATTTCACTAGGTTTAATCCTAACTTGGATTTTACATTTTTACTAACAATGTAATCTTGTTAGTAAAATTACATTTTTACTAACAATGTAATCTTGATTCTAAACATTTATCCTGGCACAATACCAATGCCAGAAGAAATGCCTGTAGTTTTATGACACAGATAAAGAACAGGCACTGTGATGCAATGAGCAGAGTGAACCTTAGAAGATCAAGGTTCCAGTTGTTGCTCAGCCACAAAACTCACAGTATTTCATTCTAAACTCCCTGACAGGTTGCTTATGGGGATAAAATACAGGCTAAGAACTGTGCACACTGTCATGGGTACCTTGAAAGAAGTATTTAAAACAAAACAAACACTCATATTTTAATATATATATCTACTCTTAGAACCAGGCTGTCCATGCTTTTCAATAGCATACATCCTTGAACAATCAGCCCCTTTGAATTTTTACAGATATCGAATTCATTCTCAGACCATTTCTGAAACCGTTCAAATCATATGTGCACCAAAAAAGGAAATTCCTAAAAATTAATACTTGTACTATAATTCAGCTTCTCCCTCCTGCTTTCCTGTAGAAAACTATCCTTTCATAAATTTTTCCAATTTCTTAAGATTACAATCCTAAACACAGCAACAGTACATGTTTATTCAGAAATATATTTCACAACATTCAAAAGGATTTATTCTAAATGTGCATAAGACTGTAGCCTTAGCTATATTAAACTTACACTTCTGAATAGTAACTATGAAATGTGCTAACTATAGCCTCTGTACTAGAATTGTCCTGAATTAAGTCTGCAACATTTTTGGATATGGTCCAGATATAGAAGGGAAGCTCCCCAAGCAAAAAATCTCTCAGTACATTTTGAATTTTAAAAAATATCCAGGAATAGTTGCAGGAGCTGATTTAAACAAGCTCTTATCAGTATGAATATGCTCTTTTTTCCTTGTTCTTATTTGACTCATTATTTAATCACTGGAACAATATCAATAAACAGCTGATACTTTAGAAAACAAAACATTTAGGAAAACATAAAAGTTAACATACTTAAAGTATTTGTACTTACATAGAACTCAAAGACAAAAATGTGTAATTGAAAGATATTTTAAAAGTTGACTTCTAATTTTTCTAGCATGGTGTAAAAAGGGAGAATACAGAACAACAATGTATTTCACTATGCATTCTCAGGGTATTTATGAAATAAATATTAAATTATGACTATGTTTAGGGGAAATGCCCTTGGATACTGTTCACCTGAAGTAACTGACTAATGAAAAAGAGCTTTTCATCCTAATTCAGGATCCATCTGCCAATCCCATGATACTACATCTTGCCCTTCCTCCAGACTTGGCCTAAGCCCAATGTACCTAACGGCGACCAGATGCTCTACCACCGAAGTTCCTGTATTTCACCTACCAACTGGAAGTGACTGATCTGTAAAGCAGCAACAAGAATCAATCAACAGGGCCTGCACAGAGGTGCCAATGACTAGTTGCACTGAATCCTTACATTAACAGTTGTCATAAAGTAATTGCCCTTAAATTTGGCCTAGGTATATCTAATGGAGCAATGTTACAAAAATCCTTACATTACCTTCAAATGCTTGGGCAGCATCAACCAGGTTAGACCAGTCTAATCCTGTTGCTGTATCTGGAAGAGGCATCAAACCAGGATCATTGAATCTTGATTTGTCAGATAAAGATCCATCTGAGAACCACAACTCATCTAAGTTAAAATGGAATAAAATATGTTGTCTTCAGGATAATAGTTCAATGTATTAGAAAAGGAATAAAGGTTTATAATAGCATCAAGCAATTGGCATCACTACTGAAGATAAAGGGTAGATACAGTGGATCGTCTTTATGCTGCTATGTGTACTGAGGGACCCAAGGATGGTTGTAATTGCTAGCTTTGATGGTACAGATCACTCATCTGCAAAGGAGAGAAACCCTTGTTAGACAAGAAAATTCTCATATTTTGAGACTTTTTAAAGGGAAATTAATTTGCAGGAGAGTTAAGGAGATGAGTAGCAACTATAAAAATGGTATACTTAAGACATTGGTCTTAAAACCAAAGGTTATTACAAGTTTTTCTGGATTTTTCAATTTCCATTTTCTCAGCATAAGTTTCACAAGGCTGGTCTAAACACCAAACTGCTCTATGACTAACATTTTGGCTTCATACTATACTTTATTTAGATTTTGTACTGGTGCCCCAGATAGTTTCAATGGATTACCACTGTTTGATTTTTCAAATGTGGGCTCAATTTTAAAATCCTTTGGGATAAATACTAAGCCTAACTTGCCCTTAAAATTTTACCTTGTCCTTTAAATTATTTAACATTATTTAACATCAATTAAAAAGTGTCATTCCAAAGACAAGTATATAATGTTAGGTTTTGGCATCAGCCATTTTGGTGGCCATCCTTGGTTTTAGGGCCAGCTTAGGTTTTAGAGCAAGTGCTAAAGTATATTGCTTAGGATGCCATTGGATTCAGCAGGTCAAAAAAGAAAGCTTACAGTTACTGTCCGGCTCTTTAATTTTCTCAGTCTCTGATATTGCTTAAAAACTGTTCCATGACAGAAAATTGGATTAGCATTAAGGAAGATAATTATGCTTGTTGGATCATGGCACTTTTTTTTTTTTTTTTGCATTTCTACAACATCCAATACCTTCAGTAGCAAAACAACTACACAATTAACTGTTTAAGTTAACAACTTCCTATGATCTAAGTGCACATCCTTGGGCTTGACAGTGCTACTGGAGATAACCTGTTCCAAAGAATATGAATGAATACTATAAAATACAATTTCCCTGAAACACCCTTTATACTCAGTTAAAGAATGTTCTATAAATCATGGAAATCCTGGCATTTCCAGGTAGAGCTGGGAAAGATTCCAGTTTAAAACTCTGGTCAGCTCCTGCCAGTCAGTGTACAAAACAGTTAAATACACCAATGTCCTAATTCAATAAAAGGCCACCTCCTATATGTCAGTTATAAGATGACGTTTTAATTACAAATAGAACATCAGATCAGATGCTGTTTCTCTCTCTCACACACATGCACACATGGTCTCTCTCTTTCTCTTACGTCTTAGGTTTCCAGTTCCACTGGTTAAGCTTGTTCTAGGAGGTAAAGTGCTGTGATAAGGAGGTGTAGTGCTGAATAAAATATCATTTGGCAAAGCTTGGTCTAGCATTGAACTCCGTGAGCTAGCATATGAGGATCCTCTCCGATTGCTGCATATACTCTCATCAGAAAGAGTGCGATACAGTGTCCGCCTTGGAGACAGGTTGCCATAAAATGAAAACTAAATATTTAAAAAAAGTAAATTAGTAAATACATTTGAACATTTATCATTTCATTAATAGTACATTTGGAGATAAACTTTACCATGCCTTAATAGAATAGCATCAGTTTAGTTATCTTTGTACTCGTAACAGGAAATCAGCTATATCACACAAATTTTTGTGAAATTATTGGCTTCCTTAGATTGCTTTTCCTGACATACAAGAATGTATCATGATTAATTTCTTAGAAACTGAAATATGATATTAACTTCAAATCAATTTTATTATGGTAGTTATAACTATATTAACTTGAGACTAGTAAATGACATCTAACTCTCTGAGGTCAACAGCTATAAAAATTCTCTATTGCATGGTTGAAAACTTTTACTATATATGCACAAATGTATTCAAATATAACATCTGCACGTGGATACCTCTGGTTATCTGAGGTGAGCTTTTGGGGAAGGGCATTAGAGAAGGCAACTACCCACTCTACTAGGTAAGGAGGAAACAGTTATATCTGAAAGGCTTGATTAAAATCTACTGTTCAAAATTCACAGAGTGAAGCCTGTGAAGCAGCAGAGGCTGTAGGAATTTTGTCTCACTTCACACTTAACTAAGTCCTGGGAGAGAAAGATGCTTACTAGTTGTCAGGAATGCAGATTTGTACAGTGGAAGCCATATTTACTTTGCAACTATTTCAAGGGAAGCTAATTTGATTTTATTCTCAATAAGCATAGACGCCAAAAATGTTATCAGGATTTTAAGAAACACACCAAATAATAGGCTCTGTTATGTACAAAATACAGCAGATGAACACTGCAAAAATTTATCAGTTTAAATATACTAGGTTATTTTTATTCAGATGAATACATGTGGTTTTTGAAAGCCAGGTCTGGGAAATAGGTTATAAACACATTATTGTGCTTATATCCTGCCATTTTTCATCTAGCAAAGAACCCAACATGCCCTCTATTCCATTTTATCCTACACCAACCCTGTGAGACAAGGTAGGCATAGCATCAGTGAATTAGTCTCTCTTCCTCACTATAGATCCTTTTATAAGTCCTCTAAATCAAGCTTAGTAATATCATTGGAATTGGGGCATAATTGCTTCTGATAGGTACATAGGCAAGAAAGTAACTAGCCTTTCTTCTGCCTTCCTCCACAGAGATGCTGTCTGGCATCATCAACTTCAGAAACTCTTCTTTTGATAAGACTCGCTGATTTTCCAAAACTGTATTCCGTCCCGAGTCTTGAAGCCGACTTGAAGTTAGGCCATCGACATCATTATACATTCTGCAGAAACAATTGGTTTTTTTACAGTATGCTAACACA